GTGCTACTTCACTAGGGTAGCTGACTGGGAGTAAAACACCACCAGGCATTCTCTTCTTTGTACATACGTTGGCAGAGAACAGAAAAGGCAAAATGTTAATGAACTTCAGAAATACTGTGAAAACACTCTCTGATCTCAAGTGACAGATCACAAAGATCATCCAAGTTATGTGAATGTGGACTTGACTTTGTAAAGAGAGTGGTAAATTCAAGGCGTTAAATATCCTTAGGAATGAAGACATGCAATAATTGTCAACCGAATTATTGTTATTTGAATATTAAGAGACATTAAACACAAAGCTATAAGCAAACAATCCTGAAATGCAATGCAATTATTTCATTAATAACATAGGACAACAAAAGTCTCCTAGACACCAAGGTATCCAGAATCCAGAGAGCCCAGAGTGAACAACCAACCGGGCACAGCTGTCTAGCCACAGCACTGGCAAAAGCACCAATGACAAAATAAAACCTGAACTCTGCTAAGAGCTGATAAAAAGTCATGAACACTTTCGCATTAGCATTAACAAATACCTACGCACACCACATATACAAATAGGGAAGTATATTTCAAAATCTTCCAAGGGGACAACCGATTTGGGTCCATTCAGTAACTGCCATACAACAGAGTATCAGAAGCCAGACCTGAGCAATGCTTGTTTACCCAAGAGAAAATGTATTACACAGGCCCACACAACCGTGAAATAATTATAAGACCTTTTTTCCACAGTCTTCACTGATATCTTTTCCTTTCTCACAGCTAATTTCAAACTTTAAACTTCATCTGTTACTCACTTCAGACTTCACTTAACCTGTACCAAGTGATAACAAACTGCTGAATGGATGATTTTTAATCTACATGTTTAAAATAAAGTTCAGGAAGTTTCTCAGGAAAAAAAAAAAAAAAAGTGTGCTGAGTAATTTACCGCTTTGAAGACAGAAAGAACTATAAAGACCTTCAAGAAGTCAGGAAGATTTGTCTTGCTAAATATGGGTGTCTTCAAAGTCAACACCTTTCTCTGACCAAGTCATAACTAGGCAAGACAGTCAATGGAGTTGCAACAGCGCAATTCACTGTGGCAGTTAGCATAAGCGAGGCCTAGATAGTGAAAAGTTACTTTTGTCTTAGTAGAAGTAAACAAAATAAGGCCAACCTCTTCTCCCAATAGACAGGATAGTGTTTGTGTGCTCAAGTAGACAGTCAAAACAATGCAACGGACCTGATGACAATCAAGAACTAAAACCATGTCCAGAACAAGCAGAGAGTGCGTGTCCCCATCCCATGGTGCTGAGGGTCTCCTGAGACAGCCCTGGCAGGGGCTGTTTCTCTAACTGGGTTACTGGAGTTGCCCTTGTACCTCTGCGCTCCTTTGGGGGTGTGGAGATGGGACTTCAATGTGCTGATGGGTCTCCTGGGATGGGTCTGGAAGTAGCCAGGGAAAGGTATTATCTGAGCCTCCCCCACCTGCCATCATGCCTCTCTTCTCCTCTGTTTGCAGAAAAGCTTTTTAATCATGTCACCTAACACTCCTCCTCCATTATAACAGTTAGTATACTTGTCCTGAAGGCTGTATCCTGGGCAGGTTTTTAGAAGTTTAATATCCAGAATGGGATGAAGAGGAGAATCGCAAAACACTGTTGTCTGATAACCATAATATTTGCTGAAGTTAACTGTTTTGTATGACAGTATTAGAAATCTGATCATCTGATCAGCTTATTCTTCACTGCTTCTTTGTGCGGGGTTTTTTTGCAGGAGCTAGATTACAATTAGCAGCTTCCTACCGTTCCAAAGTAGCCATAATTTATTAAACAGTAATTTAACACTCATAATACTCCTGCAGTCAATTTTAGGGTTGGTTTGGGGGTTTTTGGCCTTTTTTAAAACTTTTTTTATTGTTAAGTTTTATACAATATTTATTTTATTGCAGACAACTTGTGATTAGCTACTGAAATTGAAGGACACTTTGAAAGTTAAGGTTCACCTGCAAACCTCGTTGACAACAGACAGCAATCCAGTTTTAAAGTACCTTTTTCTGGGTAGTTTTTCAAATTATTGAAGGAAGTGATACAGTGAAGTAGTATTACTTCTAACATATACTATGTTACTGTGTGCATAGGTGTGGTTTTAAGTTTAAATAGTGTGTTTGTCATTTTCCTGAATTATGCTGCAGATGCTGAAACCTTCCTCCCCTGCAGAGTTGAGCAATTTATTTACCCTTAAAATGAAGTAGTTCCCAGTGCACCCAGCCCCACCAATACAGAGAAGGGAAATAATAAGAAACATATAGTGATATGAATAGAACTGTTTATGTGTAGGACAATTAAGCCTTTGATTTAAAAATAAGTAGCGTAAAAAGTACTGATGTAGTCCTTGGGGAGGGAGGGTGAGGAGGGCAGGAGCGGTTGTGGCAACGGGAAGGAGGATTACTAGGGACTTGTCATAAAGACCGAGTCTGTAAATACAGTGATCAGGTGACTGAGCTATATTTGGAACCCCTCGTAATTCAGCAAAAATGCATTTATTACCAACCTCAATTTTAAATATTAAAGAGAATATGAATCATATTGTTAAAGGATGTTGCAGCAGTAATGATCACAGCACTCATGGAATTCAGCAAGAGAACTAACAGCTTACATTTGTAACAACAAATCACTTTGAATCATCTGCAGTTGGCTGTAAATTAGGGAAACTAAATCAAAGGCTTGTTTTGATAAAACACTTAGTAAAAATGTTTAGTTTTTTCGTATTACTCAATTTTTCAGCATGAGCTGTGTGATAAAC